AAGAGTATTAAAAAAAAGATGTGGGTGTGGCGTACGGATCATCTCTAGAATCATATCCAAAGCCAAACTGGCACCCACATTCACATCCTAATTTACAATAATGTACAGTAGTAATAATGATTATTAAAATATTCAGTAGTAAGCTAAAATCTGTTTAGATAAACAGTTTTCGTTTTGTCCAGAACACATTACGATATGGTTCTTCATATATATAATCGACAAAGATGGCGTTTGGGCACTCAGTAATCATCCATTCTTTCGGCAGTATGTGGCCTATTAAACAAAGGTTTAGAATGAAGAACTTTGGTGTCCGTCTTCGTTTCCAAATCGATTACAAAGGGTGCTTGGATAGGTTGATATTTCCGATCACAGATTGATGCATTTAAAAATATAGTAGAACCTTGATCTATGCGTCCATATGCCTCGTGAATATGACCGAAGACGTGTAAACGAGGCTTCACCACATTGACACGTGCGAGCAACTGGGCACAACCGACATGTACACCCTTCGAAATTCTATCGAGAATGTTTGTAGGCGGACAGTGTGTGAGAAGAACATCAACATCATTTGGAATCCTGGACCAAACTTGCATGATTTCGACACTGTTGATTGGAAAATAAAACGTTCCATCATGTGATGCTGGTTCATAAGGGCTGATCAAGAGCAAACGTTTGAGTAGAGAAAAAAAAGTGAAATATAAGTTTTAACAAACCTGCCGTAAAATTTTAGACCAGTGACGTGGTCAATAAACTCTTGGTCTTCTAAATAGATAATTCCAAAATCGGTCGCTAATGATCGATCGCATACAAGGCGCCTAACATCTTCACAATTTTGTTTTCGACCACGATGCCATCGTTTCCAGCATCTCTCATAAGAAGCTGGATCTAAAGTTCGCTCATGATTACCCGCAATGAATATTTTCAATCGGTATTGTGTTAGAGATTTGAGCCACGTGATGAAATGCTCTACTTCATATGGCATACCGGACTTAGAAAAATCACCTGTGTGAACAAGAATATCACCAGCTGGAAGCACGAAGTCATAACAAGAGTGCGTGTCACTAATACACACAATACGAATCTTTTTATTTTCATTGTTCATCATCTACGAGGAAGAAAATTAAAACATAAAGAAGTAGAGAACAAATCGTTTAGCCAACATCCTTATGATTTTCTGCTGAGAAAAGAAAAAAGCTCATTTCGACAATCAGAATGAATGCTGAACAACAGAATCTGACTGATGTTGCAAGCTGGACACACAAATTAGACCTCTTCATCAAGAACTAATTCAAAAACTAGACACATTCACCATTTAAATGCAGATAAGCCACTTTTGATACTGTTCCACTGTCAATCAGTTGAAACATTGAGCTTATAGTCTATGCGCGACCTTTCGCGAATCGCGACGTCAATTTATGTTACGATTACCGAATAGTTTTTCTACCCGAAAAATATATATTATAGTTCGAGTCGAACAGCAAATCAGGGATATTGTCGATAAAAGATTTTGATCAGAAGTAGATTCCATAAAAACAATCTCTAGAGACGGGTCGTGTAAATGGTGTCCTGCAAGTGAATCCAAGCTTACACATGATTTTCTGCAGTGAAATAATAGCTGAGATATGCTTCACCTCAACAGTTTTTAAAGCTCTTTTTCATGAACAACTGTTATGTGCTTCAGTAAAAGATATAAACTCTCAAATTCATTTTAGCTGTACTGTCACGTTGTATGACAATGAAAAAAATTCACTTACCAAAATAAATCCAACACGTTACAGAAACAAGAATTGTTGACTATATGACGACACTGAGAAAGGAAAAAAAATAAAATGCCGTTAACAGCGGCGATCGCTATTTAAAGAATGAATTACTGGGTATTTTTCTACTGCGTTGGATGTGACAGTAGGAGAGTTTGCATTCAGAACGCATGTTTCTACAACATCAGATGTCATCAAGTAGTTCTTTGATAAGAATAAGCACTTAATAGTAATAACTTATAGAGCACACAAGTTGTGAAATATCATAATCAATTACTTTACATCATCTTTAGAAATAGTGTCAATAAATAATTCGTCCATGAGTAATACGTCAAGTTCAAAACTCACTGTTTCAACTAGCACAAGTATTACTCTTTATTACTTGGCATAAATTTTCAAATAAAACTGATTTTTGTGGCATATCTATTGTCAACAACTGTTTTTTAGAAATTGAATGTCTCGAAAGAGAAATGTTCCTTTGAGCTCAAAGTTTAGTCTATTCTAAGAGTTATTAGATCCATCTATGAGCAAAATTTAAGATCAAAATTCCAACATTTGTGTTGTTGGTTAATATTTGGAAATTATTCAAAAATTGAGTACATCAGAGCAACTTTGAGATCGAAAGCCCATAGAAGCGAATCATAGTATGCTTTTATTATTTTCACCAAAAACTCTTTATAGTCATTTCAGTCTCATAGGTTTCACGCGTCAAAGTCCAATGCCTCCGTTCCAACCTTATCGAGAAAGACCTGATGACACCATCCATGGCAACCCCATCAGAATACATATCTCCTGCCTCGTACTATAGCATCAAGACCAAGCAGGATGTGATATGATTCCTTTCGTAGTACCTGCGCTAAGATAAATGCGGTGTAGCTCTTTCTACTTCATCAATACAAACCGCTCGATTTGGAAAGATTGATCTCGAAAATAAAAACCTCACACTTCTCTGTGGATATTGGAGCTGTGCACTCACTTAACTGAAGCAAGCGTCGGAACCTATCAAGTTTTGTATTCCGTAGTTGGCTCACTATATTGGCGTTGCCATACAGCATTGCCATTATCCGTCAGAGTACAATCTCACTCGTGATGAATCAGACTCCGTGTATTTATAAATTGATTTACCCGTACCTACATCCTCAGTAACCTACCGGATTTGTTTCGTTGTGTTGAGACTTAGTAAAGCGATACATACTTTGAAGACAACAAATAAATCATCGTCTATGGGAAATCGTATACGCTCGGTTGGTTGCAACTCGTGGTTTATGACACATGTGCTGTTTTTTTTCTTTCTTCTTCTTTCTTATGTTATTATAAATAACAGAAGCAGTAATACCTGTTTTTTCCTTATTCGGCGCTAATATGGAGACTCACATGACTCGCTTTCAGTTTTTTCAACACCATAGACGGTAGAGGGTAAGCATGCACCATACAAAATCAACAAAATTGTTTCTAAAGACAAGAGACAAAATAAACAAATTGGATTAAATTTGTCAGGATAAATTTCGTATTACTGAATCATTAGAACACAATTCACAATTCTAAGCAATTCAGGAATGATTTCAAAAATTGCTCTCTGCATGCAAAACAAATTATGTATTATAATTCCATGTTTTACCAAAAACTCGATTAGGGAACAAGATAAGTGGTTGTAGAGAAGCGAAGGAAGAAATCCGAAAAATTGGAAAAACTACGGTGCGTGTGGGTGTGGTGTGGGTGTGGGGTGTGGGTGTGGGTGTGGGTGTGGGTGTGGGTGGGGGTGGGGGTGTGGGTGTGGGTGTGGGTGTGGGTGTGGGTGTGGGTATCGGTATCTTATTCTGTGTTACCCACACCCACACCCACACCCGCACACCCACAACTACCCGCACCCCACACCCACACCCACACTCACACTCCACACACGCACACCCATCCACACCCACACCCTCACCCACACCCATACGTACACCCCACACCCACACCGACACCCACGCCCTCACTCACACCCACACCCACACCCACACTCCCACCCACGGCCACACCCACGATCACAGTTTTATAACCAGCAGCATCGTTCCTACAAGGTTCGATAGCAATCAACTGGTTATTTTAAAAAATCTTTTCTTCGAATTTCCATACTTACTCAGAGATGTAGATAGGTGGCAAACTTTTTCGAGTTCCAGAAGATATGTAGTGCTTTCAATTTGGAGCAAGCTCTAATACTTTTCAGGTCAAATTTTCGATATAAAAGGGAAATTGAAAATGGCCTTATACGAAAGTATCCTATGGTATTACAACACTATCAAGCATATCAGAACGTGTTTATTCAAGGTTACTGAATCTGATGATTTACTATGTGTTTTTTCTTAAGTTCGAAAAAATCAATTGCAAACAGCCAATAAAGTGCGCCATTCGTCAGTCTCTTATCGGATTTTTAGCTATACAAACGCAAGCAGCTATTCATACGCCTCCTGCCCAAATAGATTATCTTTTCACGAAAAAGAACGAAATAAAAATATGCACGTCAATCCCGCTTTTTTGATTCATGAAGGAACCTTTTCAAGTGCTTCCTTCCATTTTCGATGAGTATTTGCATACAGATACTATATAGTGTTTTGAGAAAAGCTCTAAAAGGACTTAGAGTATAGGTGTGAGTGTTTAGATTTTGACGACTGCTTAAGAAAGAATAGTCACACTTACACTCATCCATGAGTCCTAATAATAGCGATACTACATACCATAATACTAATTAAAATTGAATGATTTTGAAGAGAAAATCATTCAAAACATATGTCATTATTTCGGGATTGACGGAAAACAGCGAAAAGGAAAATGTCGAATTGGCAAAATATCGAAAAAAAAAGTAGGAAAACGTCGAAAAGGAAAATGCAGAAGATTAAAACGACGAAAGGAAGAACAGCGAAAAAATTTGGAGAAAAGGAAAACATCGAAAGAAATATATCGAAGAGATGTGATAGAATAAATAGGTGTGTGTAGTATACATACATTTATCCTCCTGATCTGTTATTGGCTATTGCTTCACTGTTTTTGTTCCTCTATCTGAATATTATTTCAGTCGTTCTTTTACCATAGACTAAAAGATAGTCCATTACTATTTAGTCATTCATTCATTTATTCACAGTCGACTAAAAGTTAGTTCATTTTTATTTGCGGTCATTCATTTATTCACAGTCGACTAAAAGTTAATCCATTTTTATTTATACTCGTTCATTTATTCATAAAAGATTAAATAGCTAGTTCATCATGGATACAAAAGCCAACATCGTACTCTTAAGTCCATCGTCATCAACAGACTCCATGGCTTCATCATCATCATCTTCATCAACCAACTCTGTGGTTTCATTTTTAACATCGAACAAGGGGAAACAGTTATTGGTTTACGATAAGTATGTATTCAGATGCAATAAAACAACGTTATTCAAGAAATATTGGACTTGCACCGAACATGCCTGTAATGTATCTGCACATACAAACACAAAAAATGAATTTTTGTCGATTATTGGCAATCATAATCATATTGCTGAACCTCATTTATTGGATGTAAAACAGGTGAAAAATAAAATGAAAAAACGTATCTTAAGTGAAACAACATCACTTACCAAAATCTATGATGAAGAAGTAAAAAAAGCTTCTCTTTCACCAGAAGCTGCAGCTACGCTGCCGACCGTGCTTGAATTCAGTATGTATTTTTGAACAGGATAATTATACATGACTGATACATTATCTTCTTGATTTCAGGATCGAATATGAGCAAAGCTCGCCGAAAGAACATACCCATTATTCCGAAATCTTGTGTGTTTGAAATACCAACAGCTTATCAACAAACATTATCAAATAAACGGTTTCTATTGATGGATTATTATTTGAAACGTGCCAAAGAACGTATAGTTATTTTTTCAAGTGATCAACAATTAAATTTACTGTATAACAGTGATGTCATCTTTATCGATGGTACATTCAGTGCTGCACCAGAAAATTTAGATCAAGTTTTTTTAATTCACGTCCAGCAATTGAATCAAGGTAATTCAATTGTCTGTTATCCCATTAATTCATATAAACCTTTTATCTTTTCTCAAACGTTTGCCGGTTGTATTCGATTTATTACCAAATCATCGGACAACGACCTATTTGGATTTATTTAAACGTTTGAAAGAAGAAGCAATAGCAATTAATAAAGTATTTGAACCGAAACAAGTTGTTTCTGATTTTGAATCAGCACTTGTATCAGCAGTTCGAGCAACAGTATGTCTTTCTTTTGTTTTTGTGCTAAAATTGGTTTTTATACTTAAATTTTCTATTTTTTTTAGTTTCCAAATGCTTCACATACTGGTTGTAATTTTCATTTTGTCCAAGCGGTTCATCGTAATATCACCAACTTAGGATTGGCATCCGAATATACACATGATGAAAATATACGAGACCAATGTAGACAATTAATGGCTTTATCCCTTATGCCAATCGCCGAAGTTGAAAAACAATTTAAACGTATTCGTGCATTAGCATCACCATCATTAGATGATTTATTTGTCTATTTCGAACGTCAATGGATAAGTGGTTGTGTTCCTTTATCACTATGGAATGCAAATGAATCTGATCATCGTACAAATAATATTGCTGAAGGTGAGAAAGAAAAATCTATGTTGTGGGTCAGAAATGAATCAATCTATATGTTTTCTTTTCTTTTAATTTTAGCGTATAATCGTCGGTTTGGAACACGTATAATGAAAAAACATTCAAACTTCTGGTCATTTATACAATTAATTCAAGATGAACATCTTCGATTTGAACACATAACAATTCAACTTGCTTCCGGGGCATAGGGTTCAAAGCCATCGAAAAATAAAACAGCTTTTGAACGACGATTTCAAACATTAAATATGAGGTTTAAAAATGGTGACACAAATGCGAAAGAGATGCTGGCTGGATTAACTTTATTGATTGGACGACAAACAAAATAAAATAAACATGCATTTGTAATTTTAATAACGTTCCTTTTTTTTACATGCTCAAATAAAATGAATGATTCCTTGATATGTCAGAATTAGGGAAATTTCATTTTCGATATTTTCCATTTCGATGTTTTCCTTTCGATATTTTCCGATCTCCTGTTTTTCTATTCGACATTTTTTTTTTCGTCATTTAATTTTCTATATTTTCCTTTTCGACATTTTCCTATATTTTTTTTCGCGGTTTTCCTTTTCGGTATTTTCCTTTTCGCTGTTTTCCACCAAACCCGTCCAGAGTAGTGATGCATTTATTTGCCACAGTTCTTGTACGATCAGCAGAAAAAGCGCGAATTAATCAAGTTATAGTTGTGGGAAATAATCTTTTCCTTTCATATTAGCATCTTGATATGCATGCATATCATGAAATATATTTTAGGATAATAAATAACCTCAATACGATAAGTCTTGCTACGAAATAAAGACGCAGGTTATTGAGTTTTGGA